CTTGGGTCCCAGCTCATGGGCATGATAGGAATGTGTAGAATTTTTAACACACTTCCTCCGTTTTACACAGAAAATACTAGCGATATTCCCAGAAATTAATAAACATGTAGAACAGACGATATAAACTATGCACAATTAGGGTCACAAGTGACATGTCCTTAGGCATATAGAAAATTAAAATCTAACAAATCCCCAGCCTGATGAACGTACACAAGGGTCTAAAGAATGTAAAGAGGAGCTTAGGGAACCTTTGGCTAATCTTTTCAACATATCACAAAAACTGGCATGGTGCCAGATAGTGGAAATGGGCAAATGTGATACCTATTTTCAAAGCAGGTACAGGTCCTTAGCTTGAACTATAGACCAATAAGCCAACTCCAGAGTGGGAAAATTATGGAACAATAATTGCCCAGGCCAGTTCGTAGCCACCTTGCCAAAGCATAAATTAATCAAAAAATCTCAGCTGGATTTACAAAGGGCCTTTACCTTACGAAATTTTTTAACTTTTTTACTAAGGTATTTTGATGAGGAGCTCATGGGTTATATGGATTCAGTACGGCTTTTGACAGGGTCCCCACAAACAAGACTATTGTGGAAAAAATTAAGGAAAAGGGGGAAACCTTGCAACTGTTACACATACACAGAGGTTTCAATAATGGGGGAAAAACAATGGGAATTTCAACGGTGCACAGGAGCATGCGCCCCCTTTTCAAATTACAGACTTGAAAGCATAAAAACGACATAACGTGCTGGACAAACCCAACGCCTCAAATTTTTTTCCTGGACAGGATGTTAGAGCACTCAGGAAATTTGGGAAGAGAGAATGGCCAGAAGTGTCCCGAAGCGTTTAATAGAAATCAAAGTTAAATGTTCACAGGAAATTCGCCACCTTCTTAACAATCTTTAAAACATGGACATTGGGGTGGGCATAAAAGAACGACAAAGGGAAGGTTTGCTAAAAACAACCAAACCTGGGCAAATTTATTCAAGAGGATTTAGAGCCATCCCGGGTTTGAATTTTAATATCCTGTGGAAGTGGAGGCCATTTAATTTTAGCTGCACAGTTTTTTGTTTACAGAAAATAAATGCCCTAAAACTAAAAAATGGGAAATTTAATCCCCTGGATCAAAAAAGGGTTTTGGGGCTGGGCTTAATCTGAAACCAGAAAGTGCAATTTTTAATAAAGGAAAGATTGGGTTTATATAAGAAGCATAAATAAAGGGGGGTTAGGTTGTTCTTAACCTATAAACCGTTTGGCCTTTGTTATAAGTTGGTTCCCCGATTCAGGAAGGATATAAATGGGTTGGAAAAAATAAAGGGGATGGAGTTGAACCCCAAAACCCGAATTTATGGGGGTAAAACTTTTGGGTTAAATTTTATTTAAAACATGATTGAAGGGTTATATTAAAGGGGTTAAAAAAAAAAAAAAAAAAAAGGGAAAAACTTAAAATATTAGTTGAAGGGGGCTTGCAAATTGGTTTTAATTAAAAAATAAGAGAAGGAGAAATGCAACCCGGTTGGTAATAAAGTTTTACAATTATGGAACAAAAATCCCCAAAATGTTATGGACCCCAAAAAAACATGATTTAAAGTATTAATAAATCCCCTAGTGGTTAAGTTTTTACCCAAAGTTTTGGCCCCTTAACAAAAAAAAAAAAAAAAAAAAAAAAAAAAAAAAAAGTGAGGGGTTGGAGTTGAGTGGGACTTGCATAATTAGTAAATACAATCATCAAAACTTATAAGAACATAAGAAAGGAGGAACACTGCAGGAGGCCTGTTGGCCCATACTAGGCAGGTCCTTTACAATTCATCCCACTAACAAAACATTTGCCCAACCCAATGTTCAATGGTACCCAAGAAATAAGCTCTGATGTGAAAGTCCCACTCAAATCCAACCCCTCCCACTCATGTACTTATCCAACCTAGATTTGAAACTACCCAAAGTCCCAGCCTCAATAACCCAACTAGGTAGACTGTTCCACTCATCAACTACCCTATTTCCAAACCAATACTTTCCTATGTCCTTTCTGAATCTAAACTTCTCTAATTTAAATCCATTACTGCGGGTTCTCTCTTGGAGAGACATCCTCAAGACCTTATTAATATCCCCTTTATTAATACCTATCTTCCACTTATACACTTCGATCAGGTCTCCCCTCATTCTTCGTCTAACAAGTGAATGTAACTTAAGAGTCTTCAATCTTTCTTCATAAGGAAGACTTCTAATGCTATGTATTAATTTAGTCATCCTACGCTGAATGTTTTCTAACGAATTTATGTCCATTTTGTAATACGGAGACCAGAACTGAGCTGCATAATCCAGGTGAGGCCTTACTAATGATGTATAAAGCTGCAGTATGACCTCTGGACTTCTGTTGCTTACACTTCTTGATATAAATCCCAGTAATCTATTTGCCTTATTACGTACGCTTAGGCATTGCTGTCTTGGTTTAAGGTTGCTGCTCACCATAACCCCCAAGTCCTTTTCGCAATCTGTATGGCTAAGTTCTACATCATTTAACTTATAAGTACTAGGGTTATGGGCACTCCCAAGCTTCAGAACCTTGCATTTATCTACATTGAACTGCATCTGCCACTTTTCTGACCAAGAATAGAGTTTGTTTAAATCCTCCTGAAGTTCCATAACATCTACGTTTGAATCAATTATCCTACCTATCTTTGTGTCATGGGCAAATTTGCTCATATCACTAGTAATTCCCTCATCAAGATCATTGATATATATTATAAACAACAACAGGCCCAAGACTGATCCCTGTGGAACGCCACTTGTTACAGATCCCCACTCGGATTTAACCCCATTTATGGACACTCTCTGCTTCCTGTCAGTGAGCCTTGACTCGATCCACGAGAGCACTTTTCCCTCAATGCCATGAGCTGCCACTTTCTTTAACAGTCTATGGTGCGGAACTCTATCAAAAGCCTTACTAAAATCTAAGTAAATAATATCAAATTCTTTATTGTGGTCAACAGCCTCAAAAGCTTTACTGAAGTTAATAAATTAGTTAGACAAGACCGGCCTCTTGTGAATCCATGCTGAGTATCATTAATCAGGTTATGCTTATCGAGATGGCTTCTTATAATCTCAGCTATAATTGACTCTAGTAATTTGCCTACAATTGAGGTCAGGCTTATTGGGCGGTAATTTGACGGTAACAACTTGTCCCCTGTTTTAAAAATAGGAATTACATTAGCCATCTTCCACATATCAGACACTACACCTGTTTGAAGAGATAAATTAAAAATATTAGTTAATGGTTCACAGAGTTCCATTTTGCATTCCTTAAGAACCCTTGAAAAAACCTCATCAGGACCCGGCGACTTATTTTGCTTCAGTCTGTCTATCTGCTTCACAACCATCTCACTAGTGACTGTGATGTTACATAATTTATCTTCTTCTAGCCCACTGTAAAAATTAATTACTGGAATATTGTTAGTGTCTTCCTGTGTAAAAACTGAGAGAAAATAATTATTTAAAATCAAGCACATTTCATTCTCTTTGTCAGTAAGGTGCCCATAGTTATTTTTAAGGGGACCTATCTTATCTCTAACTTTTGTTCAATAGACCTGGAAAAAACTTTTTGGGTTAGTTTTAGAATCCCAAGCAACTTTAATTTCATAGTCCCTTTTAGCTTTTCTTATCCCCTTTTTAATGTCCCTCTTAATGTCAATATACTGATTTATAAGATGACCCTCACGTCTTTTGATACGCCTATAAATTCCTTTCTTATGCCCTAGTAGATATTTGAGCCTATTATTCATCCATTTTGGGTCATTTCTATTTGATCTAATTTCTTTATATGGGATAAACGCTCTTTGAGCAGCATGTATAGTGTTCAGAAAACTGTCATATTGATAGCTCTCTTCGTTACCCCAGTCAACAGATGATAAGTGTTCTCTAAGCCCATCGTAATCTGCTAAGCGAAAATCTGGGACTGTTACTGAGTTATCGCTACTATCGTACTTCCATTCAATGCAATTTCTTGGGTAGCACTGAAAATTGACTTGGGCAAATATTTTGTTAGTGGGAAGGATTGTAAAGGACCTGCCTAGTATGGGCCAACAGGCCTGCTGCAGTGATCCTCCTTTCTTATGGTCTTATATGAATGGCAAGAGCATGTATATACAATACATTTATGTATTTTATAATGTTTTCATGTGTTTTATGACTGTTTGCGAATGTTGAGGGAGATCTGTATTCTCTATGGAGTTTATTATATTATTTCAGGTCACTTTTTATATTGTATCTTTGTATATGCTTTTAAACTGTTGTATCTGGGAGCCTCTGCAAAAACAGTGATTATGTATGAGTGAGGTGAAAGTGTTGAATGATGATGAAAGTATTTATTGCTTTCGGGATTTTCCTTCTCTTTGGGTCACCCTACCTAGGTGGGAGATGGCCAACTTGTTAAAAAAAAAAAAAAAATTAATCCTACCCTCTCCCAAACACCTTAGCATTTACTTCTTTTACAACCCCATCTATAAACATGTTAAAAAACCATGGTGACATTACACATCCCTGTCTATGGCCTACTTTTACTGGGAAGTAATCTCCTTTTCTCCTACACACCCTAACCTGAGCCTCACTATCCTCATCAAAACTCTTTACAGCATTTAGTAACTTACTACCTATTCTATACACTTGTAACATCTGCCACATTGCTCCCCCTATCCATCCTATCATATGCCTTTTCTAAATCCATAAATGCAATTAAAACTTCTCTACCTTTATCTAAATCCTGTTCACATACATGCTTCAATGCAAACCTTTGATCTACACATTCCCTATACATTCTAAAGCATTTTTGTTCATCTGCAATCCTGCTCTCTGTTATTAATGATAATTATTTTTTTTAAGACATTGGCTGTTTCCTACTGAGGCAGGGTGACCTGAAAAAGAAGTAATGCTTTCATCATGTGCTAAACCTGCCAAGTCATTAATTAATGATAAAATTATATAACAAGGACAATTATACAATATACAATCTGAAAATAACATGTATTATCAGTGTCAATAAGAACAAAATATTTTTTCAACAAACATGCTGAAGCTGTTGGAAGACAGTGAGGACTTGCCTAAGAAGAGATATCTGTTGCTGGTGACTCTCTTGTAATGTGTTCAGCAATCTTGTTTTTTCTTGCCTGCATTGCTGGCTGTACTGCTCCAATAATTTTATTACCTCCCCTCTTCTGGATTCTCCATCTAGACCATCATTACCATCAGATGGGATACTCGATTCATTTTCAAAATCATCCAAGCCAATTTCTTCATATTCAATGTCTTCTGATTCTGTTTTTATTCTGGAGTGATGTGAAGGAGTGAATGATAAGGAACCAGAGTTCTTTTCAAATTTGACTATGGGATATTTATCATTAGAATGTGACACCTTTATTTTTTTAATTGAGTTCACGACATCTGGATGAACCAATATCCTTGGAATGTACAAGTGTGTAAGACCAGATGGCAGTTTACAATTAGGGGGATAATAGAGTCTGATGATTCGAGGTGGAATAACTCCTTGCACAGTACTGCATTCAATTAATGTGGCCTTTTTACTTTTAGATACATTTAATATCATTACCTGCACTTTATCCTCCTGTGACTCACACTGCAAAATATAGGTAGCTTTTTTTAATGGAGTACTCTGAGAGCTTATCATTACTTTGGTAGATGATGTAGGCATGTCCTGTACTTCATCAGCTGGTCGTTTCTTAACCTCTTTACATTTTAACAGCTTTTTGTTTAATGATGAAATTGTAGCTGAAGTTCTTACCAATTCCAAATCATTTGGTTCTTTCTTAATATTGACAGACGATGCACTAACAACTTCCTCCTCTTCCAACTCTCGTTTTTCATCAGTAGAGATCTTAACATGACGTTTCTTAGGGACTAACGGCTGCGGTACATTAACCTGAACGTATGAGAGTATATTCCCTGTAGCACTTGTGTTTTTAGTGTCCATCATGCAGGCTTCAGGAACTTTGGGCACATCCACATTTTGGTTACCGTTTATCATCTTCTGTGGACTTTCTCTTGGTGAAAGCTCTTCACATAGACTCTGTGACAGAGGTGTTTTGGTCTGTGTCATTTTTGTTTTTGCTGCTTCTACAGACTTTTTTATAAACTTACTCCGGCTGTGTTGCTGGGGTTTGTGTCGTTTTGAAATTTTGACAGAAGGATATAAATAAAACAGATTGGGATTTAGCGTAGAAGGCATTAGTAAATAGATGAGATTAATCTGTTCAGCAAGTTGCTTGTAACCTCCATGTCTGAATGCTGCTACAATATAGTGCCACTGATCTTGGCACTGCAAAGGAGTTCTTTTAAACCCATTAATTTTTAACACACTGCTGGCTAAATTTGGCATGGTCTTTCCAACTGACAGTAGCTTATGAGGCTGAAGCTCCCAGGTGATGATAGTCTCTGTCAATAACTGCAATTCTTCAACTCTCCAATCATATACCTGATAAAAAAAGATAATATTAATTCAAATAACATTACAATATTAATTATGCATTGAGGGAAGTGGAGAGGAATAGTCATCCATAAGTCATGTGTGTCATAAGAGGCAACTAAAGTGCCATGAGAAAGGGGCTAGTTTTTAAACTAAAGATATCATCATCTGATGTTTTTAGCTTCTATTGGAAAAATGCCTCAAAACATTACAGGAGGGCCCTGCTTATACAGCAGGTTAAGTTCTGGGCTATTGCTGTAAAGTGAAAATTGCTTTTTCACTTTCAAATGCATATAAAAGCCTGATAGCATGCTTACACCATCATATATTGGAGGGTCGAGAACCCAGCTTGCAAACTTGCTCCCAGGGTTGATTAAAAAAAAAAAATCTTATGAAATGACAAAGAATATTTTTCCGAGGGCAATGAAGCCAAAAGCACGACATTTGATGGAAAACTTTCAGAATTACGCTCTCACATTTTAGCAGTCTTGGCGATATTTATGCACTGGTGATTTCACCCACATTGAGCCCTATTTTGTGCCAGTTCCATTGTTCCAGTGAACCAAACTCATAGCCATTTAGCTAGAACTCCTTTCATTCTATCAACTGAGTACAAGAAATTGCCCATTTACCCATTTCAACTACCCAATAAAGTGATCAAAATTCAATTATGGCCAATTTCAAAATAGGATCCAGAATAAATAATGTAGATATTCCTGACACTAAAATAACATTTTCTCTGTTCATTAGTCATGTCTCCAGGCCCCTCTTATATTATGCTTGCTTTTTATTTTGAATTTTTATTCACACACAAAAAATAGAAGATTTACTGTTATTCAGACTACTGCATAATGGGAATAATTGCATAAATAACGTAAGTGCATTAGCGAGTGCATATCAGACTGGTCAGCTGACATGCCAGGATGCATGACATATTTTGTTTACTCTTGAACATTACTGCTACTTTGAGCTCAATTTCAAGCTACTTTTAGTCTGTAAATCATTCAAAATCATCTCTATTTCTGCAATAGGTAGTAGGTTGGTAGACAGCAACCACCCAGGGAAGTACTACCGTCCTGCCAGATGACTGTGAAACAGAAACCTGGAACTGCTTTGCATGATGGTAGGATTGTTGGTTTCTTTTTCTGTCTCATAAACATGCTAGATAACAGGGATATCTTGCTACTTCTACTTACACTTTGGTCACACTTCACAGACATGCACATGCAAATATATATAACATACTTTTGGTTTTTCCCCTTTTTTTAAAACAGCTCTTGTTCTTCTTTATTTCTTTTTTGCCCATGGGGAAAGTGGAAAAAGAATCTTTCCCCCGTAAGCCATGCATGTCGTATGAAGCGATAAAATGGGGGGAGGATTGGCTAAAACCCCCTTTTCCCCTGTGATTTTTTACTAAAAAAAAGAAAAAAAAAAAATTTAAAAAACTGGGAGTTTGAAGTGCGGGATGTATGCGGATGACAAGAAACAGATGATTGCTGATGTTTGAAAGAAAAGAAGTTGGATGTCTGGCCCTAAAGGAAACAAAGTGAAGGGGGGGGGGAGTTGGTGGGGAAATAAATTGGGGTTAAATTTGGGGTATCTGAGAGAGTAGAGCTAAGGAAGGGGGGCAGTAATGTTGAAGGGTCAGTTATGGAAGGGGAAAGAGAATATGAATGTGTAAATTCAAGAAAATTTTGTGGATTTTAAAATAAAGGTTGGATGTGAAAAGTGGGGATAATAAGGTTTTATGACCGGAGAGGAGGAATGTAGAGGAGAGAGAAAGATTTTAGGGGAGTTAAGAAAAAAGTATAGGAAAAAAACCCTTTGAAAACCCAAGGAGGGTAATTGTGGGGAGGGGACTGAAGCTAAAGTAGGAGAAATTTTGGAGGGGTGGTAGGAAATTTGGGGTGCCAGGGGGTAAATGATATGGGAGCCCTTTGATTGAATTTGTTGGGAAAGGGGGTTTTGTTATGGAATACATATGTTAAGAAAAAAGGGATAAATAAGTATACGAGATATGATTAGGGGGAATGACAGTAGTTGTTGGATTATATATGGGTTTGATAAAAGCTGTTGAGTAGACTTCAGGATGTACATGTTTTTAGAGGGGCCACAATATATCAGATCATTTTTAGTTGTAGCTACACAGAGAGTAAAAGGTAGATAGGATACAAGGAAAAAAGAAGCATCAGGGGAAAAGAGAGGTGAAGGTTGATAAACTAAAAGGAGGGAGTTAGGGAAGATATAAAAAACTTTTGGGGATAGATGGGGTAATGAGAGCATAGGCAAAGGGGTCGAAAGGTATGGGGTGGTTTAAAACTGTAGTGTTAGTGTTTCAGCAGAAATTGTGATTCAGGAAAGGGAGGTTCGGGGGGAAAAGGGCGATTGGGGGAATGTGAGTAAAGGAGTGTAAGGGAGAAAAAAATTAGCATATGGAAGTTTGTTAGGCATAGGTAAAAAAAAAGGGGGGTAAGGCACCCAGATTGATGGGTAAAGATGAAATGTTAAAACTGGGGGAAAATTTTGGGGGGTTGGGCAATTATTTAAAAAAATTTTGGGAAAAGGGGGAAAGGGTCCCTAGGGATTGGCAAGACATGCATATTTCCCTTTGTAAAAAGCAAAGGGAAAAAAAGAGAGTGCAAAAATTATGGGGGGATAAGTTGTTGAGTATCCCTGGTAAAGTGATGGTAAGTTATTATTGAAAAATTAAGAAAAGGAAAATGGGATAGCAGATAAAAAGGAGGTTTGGGAAAACGTAGGGGGTGTTGGACCGGTGTTTACAATGAAACTAAAAGTGAACATATTAGAAAAGGGCTAAAAGATTTTTTGGCATTTATGGATTTAAAGAGGCATATGACGGGGGGATGGGGGGGGAAATGGGGCAGATGTTGAGGTGATGGTGTAAGGAATTAAAAAAGCATAAGATTTTTTTTATGAGAATGAGGCCAAAGTAGAGATTGGGAAGAGGGATTTTTTCCAGTAAAAGCGGGCCCTTAGACAAGGAGTGTGATTCACCGTGGTTTTTAATATATATAGATGGGGTTGTAAGAAAAGTAAATCGAGGTCTTGGGCAAAGGGGCGGGGTTAAAAGATAAAGAATCCACAAAAAAGGGGGAGTTTCACAGTTGCTTTTTGCTGATGACACGTGCCTTGGGAGATTCTGAAGAGAATTGCAGAGGTTGGGGGATGAATTTGGGAGGGTATCAAAAGAAGAAAATTAAAAGGGGTTTACAGCAAAAGTAAGGTTTTAGGTAAAAAAAAATTTGGTGATAAAAAATTGAATAGATTGGAGGGGGAGAGTATGGAGGAGGTGAATGTATTCAATATTTGGGAGTGGAGTGTCCGGGTGGGTCTATGAAAGATGAGGTGAATCATAGAAATTTATGAGGGAAAAGGGTGAGCGGGGGCATTTGGAGTCGTGGGGACAAAGAACTTTGTCCCCTTTGGGGGCAAAGGGGAAGTATGAGGTAAGTTTTTCCCCCGTCTTATATGGGGGTTAAGCAGGGTAAAGAATGTTCAGCAGGAAAGGCTGGAGGCGTGGGGATTCATGTCTGGGCAATGTGTGGTGTGAATTAATGCAAGAATTCATAGTTTTTGGGAATTAGGAGGAGGTGTGGATTTTCAAAGCTCTGTCCAGAGGGGGTAGGAAAAGGTTTTTGAAGTGGGTTTGGCTGTAAGAAAAGGGGCGAAACAGAAACTTCAAGAGTGTTAGTCTGTAGTGGGAAGGGAAAGGGAGGTAGGGTTGGCCTAGGAAAGGGTTTGGGGGAGGGGGGAAAGGGGGTTTTGTGTGCAGGGGGTTGGACTTCCCGCAGGATGCGTAGCTGTTTGATAGGAGTGAATGGAGACAAAGGTTTTTTTTTACTTATTTCTTTGGATGTAGAAAGTAACATTTTTGAAGGATTCAGGGAAACCGGCAGGGCCGGGCTTGATCCGGAGATGGGAAGTACATTGCCTGCACTCTGAAGGAGGGGTGTTAATGTTGCAGTTTAAAAACTGTAGTGTAAAGCACCCTTCTGGCAAGACAGTGGAGTGAATGATGGTGAAAGTTTTTCTTTTTCGGGCCACCCTGCCTTGGTGGGAATCGGCCAGTGTGTTAATATTAATACAATTCTGCAATATATTTCCATTCTATCAAATGAGACCAAGAGTCCATGAAAACAACCATAAAAACCATTTGAAAATATGCCGCAAAGTCACTGTTTTACACCAAAAACAGAGTTGCAGTTTTTTCCTCGTTATGCATGCCCATGCAATCTGCCCCAGGGCCAGACTCGTGAAACTCTGTGTTCATGAAGAACTGCAAGAAGCCTCTATTATGTGCTTTTACCATCCTATGGAGAGGAAGCATGGACACTGGGGTCATCCCACAGTTACTAAAATCAACAGACATAGCCCCACTCCACAAAGGGGGCAGTAAAGCAATAGCAAAGAACTACAGACCGATAACACTAACATCCCATATCGTGAAAATATTTGAAAGGGTCCTAAGAAGCCAGATCGCCACCCATCTAAATACATGGGAGCTTGACCGGGAGTTATTTGACTGCTAAAATAACTCAAAACATTCTTTGAACTATATGTACTGGAATGGGGTAATAACAATTGCATGTTTCTGGTAGGAGAAGATTTACCAAGGTGGTGTCAGTGGAAGTGTTGTTTACATATATTAGTTTACAGGTTGTTTTTCTCCTAAGGTGGGAGAAAGGTTGAGTAACACATTTTTGTTGTGGTTATGGTAAGTGCTATGTGCATAGTTTACATTCAATTTGTGTTATTTTATGTGACTGTGGGAAAACTTTGTCCACTGATACTGTAAGAGGGAAGCAAGTGTTTAAAGATAAAAACTATGTCCGAAGATGAGTGTTTAAACTTTTTAGGGTTCAGGAAGGTAAAAAATTCATCAGTAAACATGCCTGGTAACAGTGAACATGAGGGATCACCTACTCCAGGTGATATGGAAATGGAGAGAATGAGACTTATGCTAGAGGTTGAAATGAAAGCTAAGGAGG